CCTATAGTTCTCTTCTTGGCTAGAATGTGAGGGGGTTTGGTGGCTATTTATAAGCCAAGCATTAGCCATTTGCCATCCAAGTTCAAAGAAATTACAAGGCTTGAGTGTCAAGCTAAGCTTCCTTCTTGAATTTTCTCTTTCTTTAATTTAATTCCAAATGAAATAAATTTTAAAAGACAAAATCCTCTTCACCCCTATCTTGACAAGTGGCACAACGAGAGCCAAGTAAAAAGGTGTGTACTTTACACCTTTTTCAACACCCTTTTGATACTAAAATAGCTCTGTCTTTTTTTATATCAGTGATTTGAGCTTCCTAATTAATTTCTATTAGATCCTTAACATTTTCTTATCAATTTTCCTTTCCTAAAGAACCATCCTTTGCTCACATAATGAATTTATATCACTAAAAGAAAAGAAAACCAATTTCTTTACTATATTAGTTTTCTTACTCAGGAGTTATTTTTCCAGGTCTCTGGGCTCATTAAAACTTTCCTGATTATTTCATAATCCCATAGAAGTTTCATGAATTTTCTTGGGATTTATCTAGCCTCATAAGTATTTATTTGAAATTTTCCCGAATAAAACCCTAATTACCATAATTGGACTTTAAATTCCTTTAAAAATTATCTAGGGGCATTTTGGAAATAAAACCGCTTGTACAATATCTTATAATTCTCAAGACGTCACACCTTGCTTATATCATACCTTAGAGTCTAATTTGAACCATTTTTCATCACTTTGAATGGCCTTAAGCTCATTAAAACATAATTTGGATGTTATTTTACGAAATTACTGTTCACTGTACATTTTTCAGATTTCAGGTCTAATTGTGAAAAATTATAACTAATTCTAGAAAAATTGTATAAAGGTGTTCCAAATTTTTATGAAAAGCTCTTTGAAAGCTCTTTAAGGGAAAAATATCAAACTGAACTTTTCTTTGACCAAGTCATATAGTTTATTCATTAAACTTTATTGTTCATTTGGTCAATTCTGAAACTTTCAGATTCTATGCCTCAAATTTGGAAATTTGTATCTCCTTGTGTACACATCCAATTGAGGTAATCTACCTCTTATTTTAAAGCTTGGGATGTGTACTATAGCCTTGCTAAATTTCATAGCTTAATTCACTCATTTGATAAGTTAAAATGGTGCTCAAATTTGACTGCTCTAGGACCTACATTTTATCCCTTAAACGATTCTTGCTTTAATTCTTTTTAATTATTTTGGCATACATAACTTAAGCTTACTCCTTCCCATTCATTCTCATATATTTCCATTCATGCCATAAGTATTCTATGCACATAAATTGCATCAAGGCATTTATAAACGTAATTTACAAAATAGGAGAATTATACATTGAACATAATCTCTTTCATTAACATCAATAATTCTCCACTTTCTTTTCCGTACTTCGCATGCCACTATTGCCCATCATTGATTGACCTAAATGGTTGGTTAGGGAGGGGGTGAGATTTGGGAGAATCTCAATAGCAAACATTACCACATACATTGTACAAGATGGATGCTAATGGATGGTATATAGTTTTCCGTAAACATAAGTTAACTAGTGACAGGCCATCATGCTTTATACTTGGTATAAAAATACATGGCCATGGAAACATATTAAAATAGCATTTTTAACAATAATCCTCATGTCACAACATCATTCAAACATCAATACATACAAACCAACACATAAGCATACCACATCAAGCACAAAAGGGTAAGTTCACTACCTTGTACTTCAAGCTTTCCTCTTGCTTTTCCTTTGAGTCCCTTGACTTCCCAATCATAATAGCTTTTAGTCAACATCAATAAACATTCTCTTAGATGTTTAAAGGTCCTAAACATAACCATATTGATCACACAATCTATTAGGACCAAGAGATTACATAAAGTTTAAGACTAACTTTCTTGAACTTAACCCTTTTCTCTTAATTTTTAGATTAATGTTTTAGCTTTGTAAAATTTGTTCCCTTAGGCTAATCCTACACAAGTTTGCCCAAAGAATCCAAATATCTACTTATATTTATGAAAATCTAACTCCTTTCTTCCAATCTGTTTTGCTCGAATAGGGGAGGTTGAAAACCAAAAATCCCATCTTTGATTCTAATGCTTCCATCTTAACTTGTTTCCACATAATTTTTCATTTTAAATCTATTGGAAGCCTTAGAATTATCAAAAACATATTCTAAGGGAAAGATTCAGATCTGGCTGGATAGCATCAATGGTTACCAAAACATACAATCTTTCAATTATCATCACAAAACCATTTAAATCAAGCTATAATTGAAGCCTTTCTGATAAGCATTTTTATTTACATATATTTCTAGTCCTAAATTTATTCTTTTGCCATTTATATTTGCATATTTTAGGTATAATTATCTTTCATTATGCATAAGAGTTGGTAAAGGGAACTGTGAGGTTTTATTTGTGTTTTTACGTGATTTTATTTGTTTGTACTTTTGATTCCTTGTTTAGTGTGAGTTTCAGGGAGTTTCTTCAGCATTTTGGCCATTCTGCATAAAGCACCATGGCACAACATTTTAGGAACCACGGCGGATTTGCAAAAATACTCTTAGTAATAGGCACTACGGCAGATTATTAAAGGCGCCGCAGCGAGTACAGCTCAACAAAAGAACTCATAATCACTATTTGAGATGACATCGTTTTGGCTAGGCACTGTGGCGGATTATCAAAGGTACCCTGTCAGATGACAAAAAATTTCAGATTTAAATACAGAAGTTGCATGCTCATACAGGGCAATTCAGATTCAGTCTTTCCACCTCTAGATTACCGATTTTTTTGTTCTCTTCGCCTTCTCCCAATTCTCTCTTCTATTTTCACTGAAATCCTTCACTTTCCACTGATTCTTCATGGATCTTCCATTGATTCTTACTGATTTTGCTGCAAATCAAGGCATGGGTGGCTGAATTCTCAAGTTCTCTTAGCAATGAAGCTAACTTAAGTTCATGGAGCTGAACAGGGAGTCTTTTTAGATCTGATTTCCACTTTCTATTCTGAGATTCATCTGTATTAGTTGAACATTTATGATTAGAATGAGAGTTGTGTGATCAGATTTATGTTTCTTGGAAATTATATCTGATTAAACATTTGGAAGTGAGTTTGTGTCCTTTGATTTAGTTGAACAGAGGATTCTCTGATAATTTGTAGATCTAATTCAATTTGCTTGGACTGTTGTTCTATAATTCTAAATTTGATTGAATGCTTTTGATGATTCATAGTTGCAGTCATCCTTAGAGAATTGCAATTTTCCTTCTCAAGTGTTCTTGTCACTTGGTTTTCCTTCTCTATAAATCAAGACAGTGAATCTAGTAAGATAGTTGTTATTGAATTGTGGATTAGAGAGATTTGAGCAGTAGCTAAATCTATGCTTTTTATTGACCCTAAGAGACTCCAAATTATAGGATTGAACAAGGAAGGAAGGATGAATTGCTAGGGGAACTATCATCTCTTATTTGAATCTCTTCTTCATTTTGAACCTTTGCTGTTACTTTTGCTTTGAATTTATTTCTCACTTAGATTTTCCATTCTGAAACTTAATCTTTTACCTTGGTAACTTGATAATTAAAGTGAATTGTTAAGAATTAAACTGCAACTTAAGGCTCCCTGAGAAGAATGACCTGGGTATTGCCTCACCTGCTATATTTTTCTAGTATAATTTTGATTACCTAGCAATAAGGTTCATTACTTTCAACTAGATTTAACACCAAAACTTCCTTCCCCTAACCCTATACATTTTGGCTAGCAATATTAAAGAGGGAAGAACAGATTTTTCCACCAACAAACTTAAGGAAACAAGTAAGGAACAACATAGGACCATCTACTAACCTCAAATCTACTTGACCAAAGGTAGTGTCTTTCACCTTACGTGAACTTCAAGAAAATAGATGTTAATGGTTTCTTCAATGCCAAAAAAAAAAATCTCAACCACCACAATTAATGATGTGCTAGGTGTCACTTGCCTATTACTTCTTGCAACTTCTCTCTTAATTAACTTAATGCCAAATGAAATTAGTTTCAAAAGTCAAGATCCTCTCCACTTGTGGCTTGACATATGGCAACTTTAAATCTTCTCTATAGGGAGCTTGACAAGTGGCGCAATATAGGCCAAGTAAAAAGCAAGTGTATCTTTACACTTTATCAATGCACTTTACCGGTCCTCTTTCTCAATTCTGATCTCTTGGAGCATTGATATATTAGTCACATCAGCTCTTTGTCTCATTCTACTACCTCTTCTCTCCTATTTAATACCTTCACATGTGTCATGATTGTAACACCTTACTTTTAACATACGTTATAGGCTCAGCGGAAGTCTTTGGAAGCATTTTGGATGGTCACAAAGTTTGGAAAACATAGAAAATTTTAACCCTTTCTCGGGTTACTATTCACTTTTGCTTAAAAAGTGACCAAACTTTAAAAATTCATATCTCGAGCTACAGAACTCGAAACTGAGTGCTTCCAAATTCTACGGAAAGCTTATTCCATATCCTTTTGAGGAAAAATACTTTGGGAATTTATTTCCTTGAAAATCAATACCAGTTTCGTTTTGAAAAGTTACTGTTCATTTGGTCAATTTTCCATTTTCCACTTTATTTTAGCCCAACTTTGGAAGGGCATAATGTTTTGCGTGGTTATCGGATTTCAGTGATTCAAATCTCATATTGCAGATAAAAATACAAGCTATCTGCTCACCAAATCCTAGGTCCTAACTCACTCGTATGTGGACTTTGACTTTGGTCAAAGTTTAAGCCTTAAAGAGTTGACTTTTATCCCCCTTGGAAGGATAAAGTCTCTCTTTGGACCTAGAGCTATCATACCATCATATAAGCATGCAAATAACTTCATAATAACATCTAGCATGCTTTTCTACCATGCATGAAGACATAAACCCTAAAACATACTTTAATTACATAACTTTGCAAATAGGGTTTTTCTATGTCTTCTTGAATTTCCAACTTCTTCCAGATACTTTACCTTTTCTTCTTGGCCACCTCTTTGCCCTTGCTCTTGGCTAGTGAAGGCCCTAGGGTTTTGTTAAATATGGGAGGTAAGATTCTTGGGAATCTTAGTAGTAATACATCACAATTATGGTTACAACTTAACATGTCATTTAGCTATATGCAAACATACACATAAACATGTGACTTGCCATGGAATTTAAACACATAACATTATCATATCATGACATAGCATATCATCTCCATGTATCAACATCATGACATAAAAATCATGGAGGCATCATGGCATAAAATAAAGCATACATAGCATAAAATGAACATGTATGTAACACTTATAAATAGGATGTAAAACTACCTTTACTTGGCTCTTTTTCCTCTTCCAAACCGTGGCCCTTCTTTGAGGTTGTATAAAGCCTATTTAACAACCAACAATGCCACTTAGATCATTACATAAACCCCATAATTTAACTCTAGCTCAGAACCCTTTTATCTTGAATTTTGGCCTAACTTTCTTAAATTAATTCTTGAAACTTTTAAGGGCTAATCCTACATGATTTTTCATGTAGAATCCAAATATGGAATTGGTTTTATGAAATTCCATTCCCTCCTTAAAATTTCTCTAGGCCGTGACATGTAGGGACTTAGGGTTCCAAAATCCTTTTAAAAATTCAAGCTTCCAACTTTGCTTTCTTGGTGTATTTATACACAACACCATTTTCTAAACTCATTGGAAGCATCAATTAAAATCAAAACATTTTCCTTTGTAAACCCTACTTAGGCCGTGACATAGCTCAAAGTGAAAGGGAAGGATTTTTCATGAAAAGCTCTTTGAAATCTCTTGATTCAAGCCCTTAAACAAGCTTTAATCTTAACCTTAAACCTTTTGAACTAACTTTCATCATTTTTAGGAATTTTGGACAGCACCTCCCCTAGGTTTTATCCATCCAAAATTCACCCAAAGATGAGGAGAAACTAAGAACAAATGAACTAGGGAAGAAGAGAACACTTACTTGAACTTTGTCCTAGCTTTTCCTCTTGGTTCTCTCTTCTTTCTCCCTCTTGGAAAAATTTTTCCATAGTTTCTCTTCTCTTTTCTCTTGTGCCGTGAATGCACCTCCTTGGTGTCTATTTATAGACAAAAATTAGGGTTGAACTATTGGTTATTTGCATAAAGGTCCTTGGTGCAAGATTACATCCTAGCCTTTCATTTTGTCTTGATCTTGAACTTGGCTCACATCAAGCCACATTTCAAGCTTTGTTTCCACTCAAGACAAGTCATCTCTCATGGTTCTAATTTAACCACAACTCATTCTTATCTTAGTGCTATAATAGCCTCTTAATATGGTCACATGTTGATTTTATTACATGGTGGCAAATGAAAACACATTTCATACTTCCCTTCCTTTCCTTTCTCTTGATATTTTCTCAAGACAATCTTGCTCTTCAAGCCACTAAAAATGACGCCATGCACCTCTCTTTCTTGCCTCTTTTGTTGACTTAATTGCTTGACACACAAAGAGACACAAAGGCTTAATTTCCTTGGTTACAAACTAACCAAATCTAACTTAATTATTTGGTTATAATCTAACCAAATCATAACTATTTCCTTAACCATAATTGGACCATAATTCATCATCTTTTCTTGGGCATTAATTAATCATATATTTATGCCAATTTTCGTAATAATTATTAGGCATAATTTATGTCACGTGATTTTATCACATAATGACATATTTTGGCCTTAGTTAATCAAGGTGAATTCCTTTAATTACCTTGACCAATTTTCTTAATCCTCTTTGACTTTTTTTTTAAAGTCAATATAATCTATTTTTGACCACTTAAATTCTCCAAAACACTTGTGGCACAAACCTTATTAAATTAATTAGGGATTAACTTATAATTAGGTTACAAAATAAAAGTCAACTCCCTTGGTCAACATTTTATTTTACCTAATTTTTCCCTAATTATTTCATAAATCCATTTTCTTCATAAAAATCACTTTTGGGGTTTTATTAAATATTTTCGTACCCCAGGCTTCCGGACAATTCACTTATTCCTGAATGATTGTCCGTTTAATTTATCGGTAACCCGATAAAATCCACTGTCTCAAAAATCATATATCAGATCCCTGTAATTTTCTCCTTATTACAAGGGTGATCCATGATTTACCTGAGAATTTTCTGAACTCTCAGTTGCTCAGAAATCCCATTCCTGAGAAATCGGGCTTTCTACCAATAAGAATTCTACCGTAAAATCCATTATCATACTTCTGCTCATCAATTTGGGCTGGAAACAATTTTTGAAATTACTATAATTCTCAAGGGATTTTCCATAATTTTCCCGAGAATTATTGAGGTCTCTGGGTATTTTTACCAAAATACCCCTAATTATTTCAATCCAAATATCCGGTATTTTTTACTGTCCCGGAAAATTCCAGAAAAATTCTCATAATTCTTTTAGACCTCAAGTATCATTGTTTTCTATTTAGTTTCCTTTTTACAGCCCTTCTGGAAATATTGAAATTTCCATTATCCAATCTTATCAGATAATTTTCCCCTATCTACCGGTGTCCAATTTACACCAGCTAGATATTTTTGGGACTTTCTCATTGTCCTTAACATTCTTCTCACATCAATTCTCCATTATGGGCTACTTCATTTTTGACCCGTACTTTCAGGGCTATTAAGGTTACAAAATTCGGGATGTTACAATGATTACCTCACATGGTGCATTAATGAGCCATCATTACTTTTGTCTTTTCTTTAGATATTTTCTAGATTTGCTTGGCTCTCATTTTTCGGGATTCCTTTCTGGCTTTCTGGAGCTTTGAAAATTATTCTGTACACTTTATAAAATCCCTCTACTCTTAGAGAAAATATATAAATTTTTCCAAGCCATAACTCCTCCTATAGGTCCCACTTAAAAATCATTCTTTAAAATGTCCTTTTTATGACATAATCGGCTTTATATTTTGTTAAAGCCATTCCACTAGTCTTCTAGTTGTGGGACTAATTTTATAAATTAGTACAATCTTTCAACCATTTAGCCTCTTCTTTGCTTACATTTTTTAGGTCTCTTGCTATTTTAAATAATTACCTTAAACAATGTACTTTTTATTGGCCATAACCTTATAAATTCCATTTAAGTTGCCTCAGGGTATTTTCATCATTTCTCTTCACAAAAGAGTCTTAGAATATTATTTTCTATTTTTTGAAAATTTTTCTAAAATTTTCAGTATACATTTCATTTTTACCCCTAATAGCCATAACTTTCTGAATCTATGGTTTTGCCCCTACTTAGGCTCAATCTCATAAAACCATCTTTTTAAGGCTTCTAACTTAACTTTTGGCCTATATCTAACCTTTTTTCTCTTCCTGGGCCCTTGAGACTTTACTGGAACCTCTAGCTTTGATTATACTTCAACTCCTGGAAACTTTTACTTTGCAGTTTAGTCCCTAAAACTGCTTTGATTTCCTCTCTCATCCTTGAGACTTCTGCTCAAAAGGAACTTAGTAGTCTACCTTCTTTAGGCTATTTTCAAGGCTCCTAGGCTTAAAAATTGAGATGTGACACAAGACACTTTGTCCTTATTTTTCTTTAATTTTCTAAGGCTCAAAATTATATTCCATAATTAGTTTTTGACCAATTTATCCTTATTAGTCAATATTCAATCATTACTGAAAATTCAATAATTATTGCTTTTTATCATAATTTTAACTTTTGAGCCTTAAATACTGTCCAGGGACCTTTTCTCTATCTTCCATAATTATTTGCTAAATTTTAGGAATTTCTAACATATTTTCCCAATATTTTCATATTTCTTTCCACTATTCTAGCCCTTAAATGTCCTGGGATTTTCTTACTCTCATTGTTAAGATTTTTGGGATGTTATACTTGCAATTTGATATTCAGCAGGAATGAATTCTACTTTGACGTCTTTCTTTTGAACATGATCCCGAATGAAGTGATGTCGAACATCAATGTGTTTAGTTCGAGCATGATGAATAGGATTCTTTGATAAGCTGATGGTATCTTCTTCAACTTGATTCCCAAATCTTGCAATTGCTGTTTTAATCATAGTATCTGAGCACAACAATTTGCAGTGGCAACATACTCTAATTCTGTAGAAGATATAACCATGGTGTTTTATTTCTTGCTTGACCATGAAACTAGACAGCCTCCAAGGAATTGGCATTATCCACTCAAGATAATTATGGAAAAATATTTCCAAGCCTCAGAAAATTTAGGAAAAATAAGGATAAGGTTCCTTGAGAATTATATGGGATTATAAAATTAGTTTTATGACCAATTTGCCCTTAGAGAGATTACAAAGGAATTTAAGGGCAATTTAAGCCAATTTAAGGTCGTTATTTGGAAAATTCCAAATAAATATATTTAAGGGGAATAAAATTTCAAGAAAATTCCTATGGTATCCCAAGGAATTATAAGAGATTATGGAATTAAAATAAGACCCTCAAGTATCCAAGATTTTTCTCAATTCCTCAAAAAAGTGGAAAAATCACTAAAGAGAAGGAAATTAGTTTTCCATTTTATTTAATTATTGGAAAATTTAATTTGAGACGAAGAGGGCAATTTGGGAAGATAAAATAAGGAGAATAATTTATAGATCTGACAAAAAATAATTACAGGGACCAGAGTACTGTAATTATAGAAAGAAGTTAAACCTGGAGTAAAAGTGCACCGATAAAGCAAGACAAGAGTCTTGCAATTCAAATAGTTCACACTTAGCCATGTGTCAAGCCTCTAATGGATGGTAATTCAAGCTTTTCAAGTGTCAAGCCACCAATGGAGAGGATCTTGACTTTGGAATTTAATTACATTATGATTTAAGTTAATTAAGAGAAAGGTTTAAGACTAATTAGGCACTTGACACTTGGCTCCTCATTAATGATGGTTGGTGGGATATTTTGGTGCATTGAATGAGCTTCTCCTCCCCCTAATCTGATCCATATTTCATGCAAGGCATGAAGAGAGGGAAAAAGAGAGAGTTCAGAGGAAAACCAAGAGAAAGGCATCAACTTTGGTCATTCAATCAAGGATTCAAGGTGAGTTCTTAGTTCTAGATGTGTTCTTTGTTTTCCTTCTCTTTTATGGTTGAAAAATCTGTCCCCTCTCTTTTTAATGGTTGGCCGAACTGAATAATAAAAGGGGAAGGGAGTTTTGTTCATCACACTTGCTAAGACACAACAACACAAGTTAGATCCTAGTGTTTGCAAGTGATTATAGTTGGTTTTGAAGCATTTTTCATGGTTATTTCCTTGAGTGTTATTTTCGGCCAAAGTAAGATCTGAACCCTAGGATATGTTTTTCAAAGTTTTAAGGCTTCCATTGTATTCAAAATGAAGAATAGTGTAGGGTAAACCTAAAGAACAAGTGTTGGAAGCCATAGAAGCAAAGTTGCAATTTTTTAGTTTTAAACCCTAAGGGTTCGGTCAAGCTGAAACTGGAAGAGGAAAATTTATTTTGTTAAATTCAAGTAGATATTTGGAATCTACATGAAAAATCATGTGGGGTTGAGTCAAGAGGGAATTTTTAGGGTTTATGGAAACCAACTCTAAAAATTCAAGAACAAAGATGAAAGCTTTAAGGGGTTTAGGAGTTACTTGAGTTATGTTATTAATTTTATGAGGAATGGTTGATGATTCTCCCTTTTTATGGATTGCCATGTTAGAGTTTGGCACTTGTGGAAGCAAGAAGGAACAACAAGAAAAACAAAAAGCATTGGATTAAGGTAGTGGGATCTAATTAGCCATTAATGTTAACTTTGCATTGTTATTTATGGCATGTATGCTTGCTATTATATGGTTGAACTATGATGTTGTGATATGGTTGCTCCTTGCATTTGTTGCCATGGCCTTGTATGTTGAGGTTGCCTCTTTATAAAAGATTAGTTCTCCTATGATGGCTAATGTTGAAATGCTTTATAATGATGCATGTTAATGTTTAGTTGATTGATCTTGCTACTGGGATTTCTTAAAATCTCATCCCTCAAATATAATCTAACATTTTAGGGTTTGAAACTACTATGAGCAAGCTGCAGATTGGAGACTAAAGTATGGTGTCTTGCTA